CAATGGCACGAACCATTTTAGACTTTCTTTAGTCTTACCGAGATCTAATTTTGGGTATAATATGAGCTGAAACGGCGGGTATCACTTGGGAATGTTCCCTCGTCAGAATTTTCCTTGTATATTATGATAATCCTTGATGAAGAAATTCAATTGTACAAGGAAAAATTACATAAAGATAGTATACATTCACTGTAAACGAAAATATTCACTCACAGGAACTATTTTATTTCTCCATTTGTGATCTATTCTCACTAGTTTTCTCGAACTATAAGATTCACAGTGAATCAATGACACTACTCGGTATGATTCTATTCGAACTTGAATGATTTAAATGGTGATGATACTAATGATGGAAAGTTTTTTTGCAGGAATTACAGATGATTTTTCAGATATTAACCTTTCACAAACGTTAAGATTCGAAGAGATGAAAGTCGCTTTGACTAGTATAATATAGCTGAAAACACTGTGTTTCAATGAATATGCATTCTATGTCTGCTCATCTGATTAAATGACAATAGTGACATATCACATTCGAGAAAAAATTTCTCGTGCAAAGTACATAAAACAATGAATATTAGATTTTATATAATTCCGTTCATTGAAAAACGATTTCTTTCAAGAAAAATATTATTTGTGTATGACTTCTATTTTTGAAATAAAGAAAAGGGAAATATTCAAAGAAAGTTTTCTTCAATAGAAATGATCAAACATGTACGACTATGATGCAAAATATTTAATCAGTTAATAAACAACCATTTACCTATAGGTGCTACTTTTGGAATAACATCGACGGTATACTCTCGTGTTTCTTTGTACGGAAAACTGCCACATTCTCTTTGATAATCTTCACTTGCCATCACAGTAACAAGCATGCGATGAACACCAGCTTTCGTAGTTCTGCCGTCAATTTTTGGTATGTTTACATCCAAATTATATGTACCCGTAGGTACATCATTGCTTGACCAAGCGGGCTGGAGAAGTCGACTTTCTGATTCATCTAACCCATTGTCGTTGAAGTCAATCCACACAGTAACACTGAGATAACGACTGCAAGGAGTCTCCTGTGTATCTCCGCTTAACTGTCCACCACAATCAAGCTGAACAAGTAGTCGATAGAAACTGTCCTCATACACTGTAGCAGTCAGATATTGTTGATATCGATTATCGTTTGAAAGGGCAGTCGTTTGCATATCATCTTGAATACGTGTTCCACGTTCACCAGGCATTTGAACACGACCGATTTTGTTAATACACAGAGCACATCGAGATCTCCGTGATACAGCATATGGTGCGACGTTTGTGCGCAGCGCTAATAAAAATATACACAATAAATCATTGAATTTTCTACAAATCATATATATAAGATCTTTCCGTAAATTATATTGTATCTCAAGATGATACAAATCTAACAAAATATAACCGTCTATGACTTGAAATTTTCAGGGATGATGAACTTCTATATATATATATATCCTATGAAGAAAAACTTGTGATGTATCCTTGTACAGTTATTACTTTCCATCCCTCAAGACCATGATCAAAACCTGTAAAATACAATTTTGAGTACCTTATGAGCGCCATTTTTTCAATACAGGTGAGAGAATAGACTAGTGATTTGGTATAGGTTGAAAATCATACACAGAATTATGTGATAGCTGCGAACTAACGTGAAATTTTGCATAGTTTATTGATGAAAAAGAAAATGATAGCCCTTTTAACTTTTAGAAGGATAGAAGATGCATAAAACAATCGGAAAAACATAATCTTAACTGAAAAGCTTACAACATGTCCTTGAGAATTAGAATGTGAATTACGCTGAATACGTTCTAGATTTTTAAAAAAAAGTCATGCCATATCGATCTTCTGATACTTCTAAGTTAAATAGATTAGAGGAACCAAAACTTCATGGTCCAACACTTTGAGCACTTTATGATGCTAAAAGTCAGTATTCTATGGTCAAAAAACAAACATGGCGCAAAGTCAATCAGTTTGGGGACTGGTGGGGATACTTTTCTCGGCATATGTTTCAACACGTGTTCTCAATCATGTGTTTCATAAAAATTTCTAACCATTTATATACAACAGTTGTTTAAAAACGTATAAAGAAACTGAACCATGAAAACTAGAAAGGGAAGGAAAGTATTTTTGACCCCATATTTTGTCCATATATAAGTGGTCAATGAGCTAGATCAATCTGGAAAAGATTTCTTTTTGCAATTTAGATTTGACCAGGATATGCATGTTTTTATTTTAAAGAACTCGATGCAATTTCAAGAAAAAAGTTAGTTTCATTGCGATTTCTCAAAAGTGTCACATTTTCAAAAACTTATATTCCTGCCCAGTCTCAATGAGAAAAGGTATTCTTTGACGATTGTTATACTCGACTGGTTCCTTAATTATCGACAAATTATAACCTTACAAGGACACGATACCATCGAATATTCCTTCCAGACATGACTCCAACTGCTTCATCTCAAGTAAAAGCGAGCAAATCGTTTAGTCAAAACACTTTTCTAACACTTATTAGCCTCATGAATAGAAAACATTGAAGCAAAAAATACTTCTTGTAAAACGTGACATTTTGCGAAATAGGATAGAAAACCAGTATTGAAGTATATAGTGCGAAAATGAATCATCTTCAAATTGAGCTCCTTCATAGACCATGACAGACTATTCGATATGTGTGTTTATCTTACCCTCACCAATAATATTCTCAACCTAAATAGATTGCTCGTTTACAAATCGAATAACTCAATTATGATTCATACTTTCATTTCGTAAAGAGTGATCTCGTAGCTTTTCTCGACGAATTTACCCATCCGTAAAACTTTCGAGTAGGAATATTCATTTCATGCTTTGAATTAGCAGAAATTTCAAACTGCTTTTAATTAAATAACTCGTTTAACCATAGTGTGAGATTCAACAAATTTTATCGACAAAAATTCTAGCAATGATTTAAAAGATTTGATTACAAATCTCAGCAAGTTTCTATCTGATATTGAGCTCTATAAAGAATATATAAATAATATTTATCGAATGACATTCATGGTTTTTACCGCTGTTAACAAAAACGCTAAGAGTATCAAAAGTTAGTGAGTGGTTCGATTGTCAACAAAAAGATTTCAAGAGGCTTATCAATTTCACTATAGAAACTTACGGCTTCTTCCTCTGTGTTGTGTCACTGCGTATGGCAACACTGCTTGTTTAACTCTTATCTTTGTCGCTGTTGGAATAGTTTCTTCTTCTATTGCTTAATAAAAAATAATGTAATTTTTGTGAAATGATGCTCCCAATCTTACCAGTCATTTCTGTGATAGTACATATTTTAATTTCGATACTCTTGAAACGCTTGTTATCAAACTGAATCGTGACTGGAATGCTTGATTTTACATCGAACATTTCCCTTAATTGTTCCTCTAATTGCAACTTGCACATATCATCTTCGTGATAAGAACAATTATGAGAGTAAAAAGTAATCATATTCAACTGAAGAACATTTCCGAACAGTGGATTTTCGCATACAATCCTTAATCAAAATTGAAACAATCAAAATATAGTTTTAGATAATGTTTACTGACAGTACCCTTCCGTTATGGAATAATTACGGAAAACTGCATTAATAACGTTAATTATATTTCCATTCAAAATGATGTTCAGCTATAAAAATTAACAGAAGAATAGTAAGATCAACTTTGTATCAGATATCTTACTTGATCGGTGATACTATCGATATTGATTATTTTTGATGAGGCAAGTGTGTTGTCCAGAACATGATTTGTACTGAAAATAGCTTTTAGGTGAATTTCTTGAATATCTACACATATCTAGGATTATAATACTCGTATTATAAACACTTAAACTTAACCTGATTCCTTTTTGGCTGTATCACTTGATTTTCGAATGTAGGACACCGATTTATAAACGGCAACAGAGACCAAAGTTGCCAAAAACATGATCGCCAAGGCGCCGACACCGAAACGTAACAGATTCGATTTCCATTGGTTACTACATCAAATAAATGAACTATCGTAAATATTTGTTTAATTGAGCCAGTAAGGTTATATAATTATATGTTCCATAAATTCAATGAATGCATTTAATCCAATACTAGGTGTTTCATACATACTGTCGCTGATATACTTCATACTGAGGTTTTGAGAAAAATACATGCTGGATGCATAGAACATAACTAGGCCTTTTTTCAGAAAAGAATTTTCATTTCAACGTAGAAAACCAAATTTCACCACTTTCAGTAAAAGAAATAGTCGTTCTACGTCATTCAATTCTCTTCTATTTAGTGTATTGTCAGAATTATACTCACGGTCGTTTTCCTGATTGTCTTCGTCGGGCAGTAGTACTCGTGATGGTTTCACCATCTTCTCGAAGCATCATTTCGACTTCCATTTCTTCAAGTAAAACAAAATAACAAATCAAACATGCGATTTTATGAGAAAGTTTTACTTGAATGCTTCGTATATAAACCTTTGAATGATTGTATTGTTCAAAATGATAATATCTAGGTAATGAAAGAAAATTCCATTTCATTCTATTGCACAATTTGAAAGATGATCAAGGGGCTCCTCCGATTCTTGTTTTCTCAAAAACAACGATTGTAATTATTAGTAGAATGATATTAGACAGCAGATTTAATTAGTTAGATTATTTTGAAAGTAGACAGTGTAAAACAAAAGTCGAACAGTTCGATACAAGCTTGAAGTATCACTAAATATAACTTGTATTTGTTTCATTAAAGATTAAAGGAATAATATAATTTTGCACAGTTGGGTGTGGATACGTATGAAGTGTGTATGAGCGTTGGTGTCAGTGTGTAGGTATGGATGGTGTGGGGTGTGGAGTTTGGATGTATTTGCCAGTATATGAGCGTGGGTGGTGTGGAGGTATGGGTAGTATAGGTATGGATTTGGGGATAGAAGTAGTGTGGGGCGTGAGGTATGGGTATGGGTGTGTGGGGAGCGGATGTGGGTGTGGGTTGCCGATGTGGCTTT